AGACTGTTGATTTTTGTTAATTTTTCATAGAGGTCTAGTGATTTAAGTTTAAAATTACTTAAAATATAAAAAAATATAATATAAATGCATTTTATTTTTACAATAATGCCAAACCTTTAAAATGACTAGATTAACTTAAATCAATATCCATTGTTAGTATAAAATTGACGCCTTAGAAAAGCATGCGCCTCTGAAGCGTATGGTTATCTTTTACGTACGTTGTCATATGGTTATCTTTCTAGGATTAAACATTTATGACAAAAATGAATACGCGAGTATTTTCACAGTCAGGTATTGCTACATTGTTTCCAACTCATTACAATTATTAAAAGAGATACATTTTCATTCAACTTATGTTTCATATAATTTGCTTAGACAAGTTTTTGTGCAAATCAATGCATCTTTGTATTCTCTTCAAAAAAGTATTAAGGTACTTCAGAGTCGAAAATTGATTAGTTCAGACGTTATGGTTTTTGTTTCGAACACTAGTAATGTATGTACATACATATAAGCGAAACGCTTATGTGAGACGTTTAAAATTCTTACGATAAGTGAATTGCAAAAGCATTAGTCTGCGAAGTCTAACAGGTGAATTTTAGATTAACCAAATGGACGACTCTTGTCTTGAACGCGTTCTCAACGCACGTGCGATGAATGAATACAGGAGTACGTGACGCACGCTTTGAGTATTTTGTTCAATCATAATTCTAGCAAACATCTCGCACGAGATAGAGAATGCGTACGCGATCGCGTACAATCGAGATGTTGCAACTAAAGTCAACGTCAACGTCAACGTTCTCATCGTCATCGACCTTAATAATGATCGTTTCTATTCGATCGATGCACACGTCCTGTCCATTATGTCTTAAGCACAATTTTCCTTTGAACATAAATTTTGTTATGTTGACTGAGTTTCGTATCATTTGACACTTTTAGCACACGCCTAGCATTTTAAAACTGCTGCTTACTAAAGCTACAAAATTCAATACTGTAAGAATTATAATAGCGTTAAATTGAAAAAAGAAAGAAATGTTTCTAACATGTTCTTTTATTTGAGTTTCTGGGAAGAGTTGAAGTAGCAAAATGATGGATGCTTTGACGTACAGCATAA